GGGTTTAGGGTTTAGGGGGTGGAGTGTTTAGGGTTTAGCCTAAACCCTAAACCCTAAACCCAGGGTGAACCGCTGCTTGGGCACGCCGGAACTTGGGGACGGTTTCCTGCGGCTCGGCCGACTGAAGCGCCGTCCCCTCGGATGCCTCGCGTCATGTTTCGGGGGTTCTTGGGGGGGAGTACAGACAATAGAACATAGGATGAAGTAAGATATTATAGTGTAATATACTAGCATAATCTATATATACATATATATATATAGAGAGAAAGAGAGCGTACAATATAATAGAACATAGGGTGAAGATATTATAGCGTAATTTAATATACCAACATAATATAGTACAATATACCATAGGCTTGGGGTTCGGGGCTTGGCAACTCTAGGTGTTCGATTTAAGGCAAACACGACAGGTTCCCTGGTTTAGGGCTTATAGGGTTTAGGGTTTAGGGTTTAGAGCTTAGGGCTTATAGGGTTTACGGACTCGTTTCAGAACCCTTGCGGCCATCAAACCGAAAGAAACCGAGACCAGCAGCTGTCGCAGAGTCCCTGGTGATTCTCGCCGGCAGCCCGAAAAAACACCCAACCCAAGCAAACCCCAGAACCCCCCAACTTCAAGACCCTGGGCCCTGAACAACAAAAAGCCGTAACTCTAAACTGAGGCAGGCCCGACACCCGTCATGTAGAGGCCTTAGTAGTTAGAATAGCGTTTTTTTTGCCTTCCTTACTGTAAGTGTAGCAGAATATATCCCAAAACCCTATTCTAATTATTAAGGCCCCTATATTAAACCTCAACCCTAAACCCTAAACTACTAAACCCTAAACCCTCAACCCTAAGCCCTAAACCCTATATTGAACCCCCAACAACCTCGGACCTCCAGCCTTTTAGCGCCCCACCTCCCCCAGGCACCCAGATCCTGCAGCTCCCGGGCTCCTGGGCCTTCGACTCTTTAGATCCCCGGCACGCAAACCTTCGATGCCCTAATATGGGGGTTTCCGAAAATTAGGGGACCTTATTTTGGGGTCCTTATACTAAGGATCCTATTATTTAGGGTGCTATATTAGGGTCCCCTATTTTCTGAAACCCCCATATAACGGCCTCAATACTTAGAATAGGGCGTAGAGGTACGTTATACTATATTCTATGATAAGGAACAGGAACCCCCCAAAGTGTTCTTATTACCCTAATCTCAAAGCTAGGCCAGCGCCTCGAGTTCCTCAGTTCAAGATGTCCGCAATCCAGTTCTTGGTTTATGCAATATGGCTACAGAGAAACCCTACAGCCCAAATTAAAAACCTTCCTAAACCCCAAATCCAGAGACCCCAAGCCGCCAAACCCAAATACTTTAAACTTTAAGCCTAAACCCTAAGCCCTCATCTACTCCCAAGATGTTCAGAGCCTCCGGGAGAGGCACCAAAACAACACTAAGGGCTCTAAAGAAGTGGACTCCTTGTAGGATTCCCTCTTTCCATATTACTTTAGTGTGCGTTCTAGTTCTTTTTCTGGGGTTACCTTATAGGATCCTAAAGACATAAACAATTAGTTAGACCAACAAAAGGCCTAAACCCCAAACCCCAAAAAGGAACTACAATGGGGCTATATAGATAGGGAACCCGGAACCCTAAACCCTAAACCCTAAACCCTAAACCTTAAACCCTAAACCCTAAACTCTAAACCCTAAACCCTAAACCCCGGAATAGAAGAGTGGCCAGGCCTTACCCTTCAATTTCAGGGCGCTTTCCCTTCTCTCGACCTCGCGGACAAGGGGTGTTGCGGTTTAGGGTTTAGGGTTTAGTGTTTAGGGTTTAGGGCTTCGGAGTTTAGGGGTTTGTGGTTCAGGGTCAAGGATTGAGGCATTGGGACTTGGGAATATTCGGGGTGCAGGATTTCCGGTTTTGGTTTACGATCCTAAACCCCAAACCCTGAACCCTAAACCCTAAACCCTAAACCCTAACAGGTATACGTTTAGATCTGTAGGCTTTCTGGGCTGCCGGATTTAGGGTTGAGCTTCAATCGGCTTCATGGCTAGGCTATATGCCTCAGATCTGCATGGCTTTTGTTTTCGGGTGTCGAAAAATCCCTGTTGAATAGAGAGTTTAGGGCTTAGGGTTTAAAGATATACTCCAAATCCTAAACCCTTGCTCCTGAACTTTTACATCCACAGAAACCTGACACCGGCATTGGATTCCTCTGCCAAACCGACAGGAAGGCCGATCCTCGAGTTCAAGAGATGCCGAAGATCTCCCAAAAGGGAAGGTTTTGGGGCACATTATACTATAACTATAATGAGGAGCCGAAATAGTATAGACACTTATTTAGGCCCCGGGGGTTTAGGGTTTGAGGGTTTAGGGGTTTAGGCGTCCAGTTCAACGGAAATCAAGACGGTCTATGGTTGGGGCTCCAGAACTGAAGGATAAGGGGAAGCCATGAATTATCCCGTATCGGTACCTAGTGCCGCGTACGTAACCTAACCTCGGAATTGAACTGTGAACTTGGCCTCATAAGCCAGAGAAGAACCAAACTGGTAACCCTAACCCTAAACAGACATAACTCGAAATCGTAGGATTCCCTGCCGTCTGCTGTGCTCCGCAGAACTTGCAGAACTTGGAGTCATAGGGAATGAGCTCCTCCCAACTTTCATGAGCTATAGGCCAGCGGGCTTAGTTTTGTTTGATTCCTGGCCCCTTTTGCGTCTCGCCACTAGTTCGTTACAGCATTCGCTACGACACGCAAAGCTGAGGGTCGAGAAATTGGGTGCATCCCCTCCCGCACTTTCCGCAGAAGAACCTTGAACCCTCCCGGCAAGTATGCATCCTGAATGCAGCGACACTTGTCCCTGGCACGGCTTTTGAAACTTCGGGTTTAGGGTGGTTCGGATACTTCACTTGGGGGGTCTAGAGCTTGGGGACCGTCAGGTCTTCGGCAATATTCCAGGCACCCAAAGCCGATCAGCCCTTGAATGTAGGGGCCTTAATAGTTAGAAGAGGGTTTTGGGGGCTCCTTATCATAATTATACTACTCTACCCCGCCCCAGAACCCTATTCTAATTAGTACTCATTCTAGCATACTATTACTATCCCCCCCCCAAAAAAAAAATATTCTAATCATTAAGGCCCCAAAAGGCACAGGGTCCTGGCACATGCGGCAGGGAACATCCTGCCGAGGCCCCGGGGGAGGCGAGGATGGAGTTGCAAGGGGTGAATGCGATTGGCGACGAGTGCACGAAACTTTCGTACTAGGGTTTAGGGTTTAGGGTTTAGGTTTAGGGTATGTCACAAATACGGTTCTTGCCGGTATCGCTGTTGCTTCTTGCCGAATCTCATGTCCCTATGAAACAGACCACTGTCGTTGCTGTGGCTTCGGTGAAGTTGACTGCTCTACAAGGGCTGCTGTGCTTACTCTAGATCTATTTAGTACTTGCGCGATTGCAGCAAGCACCGCCATCAGCCGAGTTTTGGTGTCTTGTGCTCGGAAATCATGGACTCGAATCTCGAAGGCTTAATTGACACAGGAATGGAGGACTCACAAGCATTGCAAAATCGAGAGGCTGATCCTGTCTTTTCAAATTCCTTCCAGTGGTTTGGTGGCGCGCCTCCTGGAACAGCTTGTGAATCCCTGGCTTCACTTCGTCTTGGAGCTCCGCCGGAAGCGGCTCTGGGCTGCCTCCCTTTCAGGGAGCGGCTCTGATATAGAGCGCCACCACAATCACCGCTGCATTGTCGGCCTTGGTCATGTAGAAGGAGCTGCAAAAGCCGTGCTAGGAGCATCAAACCTGGCAAGCTGCTGACATGGCCCGTCCCAACTCCGCCCGTGGCAAGGATGACGAACACCGTCGCTTCCTTCACTTTGATGCTGGTCACCTCTGGCGTGTTGATCTTCTGCCCAGTCTTGTCCACAACGTCCCCAAGGGCACGGGCGTTATGTGGATGGCAAGGTGCAAGTCTCTCGGCACCTTGCCATCCACATAACGCCCCTCGATGCAGATGCCGAGCTCCTCCAAGCGCTGCTTCTGCCTGGGATCCTGCAGGGCAGTTGTATGCGAGAATGGAAAGGTGGGCACAATTGCGCGTAGTTGTGCCCACCTTTCCATTCTCCCGTACAGCTGCCCAGCAGTCCCCCCAGGTTCAAAAGGATGAGCTCGTCTTCCTGAAGGAGTGTAATGCATGCTACTGTTCCGGACGAAGTGCCGGCTGTGACTTTAGCTGCTTTAGCTTCCTCTGCCAGCTCCTTCTGCATTAGCTCGTCCATTGCTGCGAACGCTTGATGGGCTGCCTCCTCTTTGTTGCTCTCTCGATCTGGTTTGACATTGTCTCAATTCCTGCCGGAGCTGTGTCATGTCACTCGTCAAGCCATGTCAAACCCCGTCAGGCGGAGGCCAGAAGGGAATTTGAAGAGACGAAGCGGCAGCTTGAGGCCTCTCTTCAAATCAATTGCAGTGGCAGGAGCTGCTTGGCAAGTACAGTGGCCTTCTCGCCTCCGTGCCCGTCGGACACAGCGAAGCAGGCGTGTCCCGCAACATTGTCGCTGATGGAGACAGCGTCTCAGCACTGGTTTGCGCTCGCGCGAGCGCAAAACCGTGCTGCGAATTTCCACCCGAGGCATAGTCTGGCAGCAAAGCTGGATCTTTCTCTCGTGCCGCACAACACTGGCACACCTTGCCCATGGCTCACGCACGTTTCACACATATTTTGACCATGCAATCGAATGCCACAGATCGTTCGTCCGGTCTTGTCCACAATGCCTCCCAAGGGCTCGAGAGACTTGAACTTTTGCATCCACATAGATCACATAGCCACCCTGCTTCGCCTACCCCGACAAAAATCTTCTTGTCGGGGTGGCGGGCTCTCGTGGTCGTGCCCACCAATCCGCTCCTCAGGCCCAAGGAGCGCAATGCATGCTCTGCCGGAAGAAAGGCTGTAAAACCCCTAAACCCCTAAACCCTTAAACCCTAAACCCTAAACCCCTAAACCCTTAAACCCTAAACCCTAAACCCTAAACCTTGGCTTCCTCTTTAAAATTGTGCTTCTGCATCGGCTCCATGGCCGCAAAAAGCTTCATGGGCAGCTTCCTCCTTGAAGTCTTGTTCTGGCGTGCCCCGAAAAAAGTGTGAAGAATGACCGGGTGCGGATGGAACTTGCGGTCACTCATTGAAGGAGACAGCGCCTTCCATCCGCACTCGGTCCTTCTTCACGCCGGCAAACCCGTGCCGAGAATCTCCCCCAGAGGCGTAGTCCGGCAGCAGGGCAGTATGGGAGTTTTCGAAAATAAGGGTACCGTATTCTGGGGTCCTTATAATAAGGATCCTACTATTTAGGGTGCTATGTGAGGGTCCCCTATTTTCGGAAACCCCCGTATCTTTCTCCGTCGCTCCAAGAGTCGCGTGTGAGCCATGGGCAACTTTGCTGCCCATGGCTCACACACAACCCTTTTTGCAAAGACGACATGTCGACGGTGCCACGGAAGCCCAGATGCCGGCATATGATCAAGAGAGGTCTCTTTGTGAATGAACTTGTCAGAAAGTCTCCCGTTCACTATGTCACTATGTGTTTTGACAGCTCGTAATCAACACTGCTCTTGTTTGGACCCACGGGGCAATGCATCGTCAGACAACGTCAAGAACTGTGACTATCTAACCTAGGTTCCCCAGTAGCCCCTTAACAATAAGGGTATCCTTTTCCTCCTGTTTGATTTTCCTAAAGGAACCCCAGAAAGAAAAAGGGAAAAAGGGTACTGCTGGGGAGCCTAGTACATGCGGAGGATCATCACCACGAAGGCCCTACCATCCCAACATCGGGTCTTGTGTATCAGTACTTGGAGGCCTCAAAAGGTGGGATGAAGGTAGGTAGGATTGAGGATCCCTTATATAAGGACTCTTACTTTGGGATTACCCCACCTACCTTCATCTCACCCTCAGAGCCCCTTTGACTGTATCAGGGTCCGTTGTCCCTGAAACTGTCTTTGGCAGGTCTCTGGTTCATGACGGCTGGCCCTTCACTTAAACCCTGAACCCTCAACCCCTGAAGCCCTAAATCCCTAAAGCCCTAAACTCTAAACCGCTAGACCGGCCTCCGATCGCTTGATGGTCACCACACGCCTGCCAGCCCCAGGCCTGGAATGCAGATACTGAAGGTTTAGGGTTTAGGGGTTTAGGGGTTTGGGGGTTTAGGGTTTTTGGTCAGGGTTTAGGGTAGAGGTTTGGGGTTGAGGAAGCAAACGAACGACGCGGAGCAATAAATCTAGTCGTAGCAAAATCAACTAGCCGTCGTTATATAGTACATTACAACATATGTTCGCTAAGCCCTAAGCCCTAAACCGCAATATAGTTTAATATACCTGCCAATGCAATATGCGACTATCAGATATCAAGATGACAGCCAGCAATTGGAATGATCCTGAAGGGCATCGCAGTAGTGACTACAACCAAGGATAAGGTGTGGGTTTAGGGTTCCGGGTCTTTACGGGTTTAGGCAATAACCCTAAACCCTAAACCCGGGTTTAGGCAATGTTGTGACGCAGGGAAGAACTGGTGCTTGGAGCAACAGACGCTGGCGGCACGAGACTTCCAAAAGATTTCCTTCGGTTTCAATATGGGCTTCAGTGGGGCCTCATATAGGGGCATTGATAATTAGAATAGGGGTTTATAGGGTTCCTTTAAAGGGCTCTTTAAAGGGTTCTGTAAGGACTACTATAAGGGTTTAGGGTGTAGGGGTCTTAAGAATTAGACTAGGGTTTTGGGGCCCATTATATATAATTAGAAAAAGGAACCCCCAAAATAGTATAGGTAATCGTTTAGCCCCTATACTAGTCAGGCTATGTTTCATGGTTGGGTCCGGAACTCAGTATCTCTCTTATTCGGCAACCAAATCAAAACATCCAAATCTTTAATCAAGACCGAATAAAAAGACCCCAACAAGTCTATAATTTTCTCGTTGGGGCAATATCTGGACTATGGACTGTGTGGTGCAGTTCTCAACCTCTAAGTTAGAGCGGGCTGGGACGTGCCGCCAACCACAAAAAACCTAAACCCCTAAACCCCAGACAGAAAAACCCTAAACCCCAAACCCCTAACCCCTAAACCCCTAAACCCCTAAACCCTAAACAAAGAGACCGTCCTCTACCAGAAACCGGTGTGTAGTTCCAGAGAGACCCTGCAGTCCGAAAGCACTGAAAGACTCAGCCCGAAAACGTAGTTTTGGGGCCTTACAAGTAATGCTTACAACAGGGTTGGGCGTCGGGGCTTTTCGGGTTTAGGGTTTGGGATTTAGGGTTTTCGGGGT